AAGGAAATAAAAATTGAGTGCCATGTCATCAACTTTTTCAGACCCTGTATATCACGTCTTTTCATTCAAATCCATTCATTTCCCTCTGAAACGTTGCATCTCCCCACAAAACTACCGTCGTTTCAGGACCGATTTCTCTCTCCCTCATAATTGTCTCTTCTCTCATTAAAACCCTCTCATCACCTTGAACGATCATCTCTCTCTCTCTCTCTCTCTCTCTTTTTCCTTCTTTTCAACCTTTCCAGAACCTTCAAAATTGATCATCTTCCATGGCTGAAAATCAAACCACCCTTCCCACATCTCCTGAGAAAACCCTCGACTCTTCCGCTCCCAGTAAAACCCCTCTCAACATTCCTCTTTCCACAAATGTCGAAACTGAAGCACCTAAACCTGATTCTCCTTCACCCTATGTCTCTCTCACCACTCCCTCAGACCCTTCTCTCCCTCTAAGTGTTGAGAACTCAAAAACTCCCAAACTCGATAGTCTCTCGTCTCTGTCGCTTGAGATTTTCACAGAACAAAACAAAGATGGAGAACAAGGTGAGACTCCACGGGCAGAAAAGGTTTCTGTGGTTAGTGTTGATCAGTCTTCAGGTACTCCTGTCTCAAAGTTTGTTGCACCCATAGAATCTCTAGAGAAAGAAGACATAGAAAACATTTTGACCATCTCTGCTAAAGGGATAGTGTATGGGGTCACCTCTACTATGTCTGAGTCTCAAGGGGAAGAGACTCAGTCATTAGTGGGAGAAGGAACTGTGGTGCTCTTTGAAAATCCTGCACCAGAAGAAACTACTGGGACCCTTCTTGAAGGAACTGACCCCTCTCCTAAGGAAACGGGTCAAGGATCTTCTTCCCAAGTCAGTTTCGACCCTGCTCCTTCTCCTCACTTTGATGTTGAACCTTTGGAAATTTTGGCTCATGCTATGAGGTCCAGTGATGATGAAGATCAAGATAATGTTGCTCTAGACGCGTTCATTGCTAGAAGGAGGCTAGTGGCCACTCCTGAGCCCTCTCCTGAGCTACCTGCTACGAGGTTGCAGAAAAAGGAAGCTTTTGAGTCTGCCCCGCAGAAGAGTAAAAGGAGTAGTAAGAAGAAGAAAAAGAGGCTGGTGAAAAATAGAGAGGTTGTGTGTGACAAGAACATTCTAGTAGTGGAAGTGGATGAGGAAGCTGCAGAGGAACCAAGTTCCTTAGTCAAGAGATCGCAGAAAAAGAAGCGATATGCTGAAAATGCTTCAGAGGAAGGTGTTGCAATGCCAAGTTCAAAGTCAGTAAAAAGTTGTGACAAGTTGAAACAAGTAGTGGCTGAAGAGTCATAGTCTGATGAGGATATCTTAGTGAAATCAAGTGGCAAAAGTAAGTCGAGTGTGAAGTTTGGTAAAAGAAAGTTGGAAACTGTGAGGGAACCCGATTGCGAAGAGAGTGAAACGTGAAAGTATGTCCGGTAAAGAAAGGCTGAGGTACTAAAAGGTTCTATGGGGTCGCACGTTTGACCCAGAAATACTGAGATGGTTGGTATGTGGCAAGTACTAGACATGGTCGAATTTCAACAGTGGGGACATCTGTTCAAAGTGGATGTGCCCAAGGTCTATGAGGATGAGGTCCAAAGTTTCTACGCAGACCTCTTTACTGTTGAATATGACCATAGTTGTGCTCTGGTCAATGGAGTTGATATTGTTTTCGATGTTGTTCTGCTTGGAGACATACTTAAGGTTCCTGCTGATGGTATATCCACTGTCGAGGATGTGTGTGGATCAAATTTTAGGCACACTATTGTAAAGGAGGGAGCAGTCCAGTATGGGGAACAGGTGCATAAGAAAGCTTTGCTTCCAGTTTATCAGCTCCTGTTTGAGTCGGTAAACAAGGTCCTTCTACCCCGTGCTGAGAGGAGATCCATCACTTCCAGGTCTGATATGTATTTGGTGGAAGCACTGGATGGGTTCCGATCTATTAATCTGCCAGCCATAATGATTGAGCACATGCAAAAGGTGGCAATTTTCATACATGGAAACCATGGTCTTCCTTATGGATTTCTTCTCACGCATGTCTTCAAGTTCTTTGATGTGCCTTTGGGACAGCCCAAGATAGGGACCAAGAAGAAGACCTTCTCTCAAACTACTTTAGAGCAATGTAAATCTGTTGAAAAAGGTGGAGGGGTAGGAAGCACTTCCACGATCTCACAGCTTATCAATGCCCAGAATAGCGCTACTGAGGAGATTAGGAAGTTGAAGGCAAGGAATGCCATTTTGGAGAATTAGCAGGCTAAAGGGGCACCAGGGTCAAATGCAGATGTTGCTCGTCTGACCAAAGAAAATGCTGATCTCAGGCAACATGTTGAGAACCTGAAGGAGAAACTGCTCGCAGAGCAAATGTCGGCCAATGCTCAAATTGATCTCATTCTCAACACTCTTGTTGCAGCTTCTAAGCCCTCTCCTTCTAGTGTCCCCTAGGCTAATCCTTCAGTGATCAGTTTCCAGATTATCTTTTTTGTTTTTGATGACTCTATGGTAGTTGTTTTTGTTTTTCTTTTGTGGTGTGGGTGGAATTTCCTTGTACTGACTGCTGATAACAATCCAAATCTGCCTTTGCTGTAATGGCAAAGGCTTATGTTTTATAAAAAGTAATGAAAACTCTCCTCTTTTGCTATGAATACTTATGTTCCTCTGCTTCTCTTTTCTATCATGTGGTGTGAACATATGTGGCATGAGTTAGCTAGGCTAGACTTCTTTATACTGATTGCTTGCTTGTGTATTTTTAATGATGCCAAAAGGGGGAAGTATAATTGAAACAGGGATCTGATTAAGGGGAAAGCATAAAGTCACGGGGAATTTTTGAAGTTCCTGTTAGTTCATATGGTTTATTTTGCTCTGAATATGGGTTATCAATTTCTAAGTTTGTCATCATCAAAAAGGGGGAAATTGATGGGTCTACAGTACCTTAGCTTTATGTTTTGATGATCTAACAAACTTACTGTTAAAGAACCAGATAAGGGACCTGACACACTCAGTACACAACTCTATCAACGGACTCGAGCTAATATGAGTTGCTATGAGTTCAGAAGATAAAGAATCAACACAGGGACCTGATCCCCTTGTGTTTCCCTGACAACAGTACGAAGTCAACTATCTACAGCTGGAAAGTGACTGCCTGCACTGTACACGCAAACAGCACAGCACAGTACTGCAGTCACTCCCCTTTGACAAACCAAGTGATGTCATCCAAGTTGTATTAACAAAGAGTATTACAACAAAACATCCCTTAAACATTTGAGAAATCATTCAAGAACTTGAACCGTTCATCTGTCAAGCATTCAATTCTCAAGTGCATCAAGAACAAAGTACAACACTACTACAGACCAATTCCTACAGCAAGTATCTTGTCCTTAGTTGAGTTGTAACTTTGTAATTGTTCTTCATTGTAATTCCTACTTTGCTTATCTGGAAGCTTTAATTAGGAACCCCTTGTAAATCATAAACCTTCAGTGTTTGTGTCGTGACTAGAGTTAGTCATGAGTTGAAGTCTTTATAAAAGGTGTATTGCAAAGTGGCTTGTAATAGGTGTATTACAAGTTAGTGAGAGATTAAGAGTTTAATTCCTAGATTGCATAGGTTGTAATCTAAAGTTGCTCATAGTGAAGCTGAAATCCTACCAGTGTAGGTCATGGTTTTTTATCCCCTTGAGCAGGGATTTTCCCGCATAAAAGTTCCCTGTTCCATTTACTTACTGTTTCATTAGCACTACCAGCGGAAACCTATAGAGGACCTGGTCTCAATATAGTTTGGTGGACTCATATATTCTATCAGGATTGTTTGCAATCACTTAAATACTACCTACGAATCTAGAGTTGAACCGAAAGTGGCAATTCTGGATTGCACATAGAATTAAGTAGAGCAATGTCACGACCCTAAACCCAGACCCGGTCGTGATGGCGCCTCTCGTGAAGGCAAGGCCAGCCGACACATTCCCAATTCGAAGTTAAACAACTAAAAAGCAATAAAACAGGCTAAAACATGATTTAATAATGCTAAACAGCGGACAATATCATAACAAGGCGGAAGTACAACCCAAACACAGCCCAAACCGGGGTGTCACTAGTCATGAGCATCTACAAAGTCTAAATACGATTGACAAGGTCTGGAATGTACTCAGTACAATCTAATAGAATGAAGAGAGAGGAAGCAGTGCTGCGAACACCGGCAGCTACCTTGCTAATTCCACTGACAACTGCCACCAAGCTCAGAAAATACCTGAATTGACACACAAGGTGCAGAGAGTAAAATGAGTACTACCAATTCAGTGAGTATAATTATAAATAAAGACTGAGTGACAAGAAATCACAAAAAGAGCATCAACATGCTGTATAGAAGCAGTTTCAAAAGCCAGTAGAAAGCAATGAAGCCGTAAAAACTTTTAAAACATCTTAGCTCAGTTTAAACCCTTTTTGAAAATAACTTTTTCAACAGTTGCGCAAATGAATGCAGAACAACTAGTGCAGATAAGCACAGAAATCCGGCCCTCGGGCACAAATACACAATTAAGCAAGTAAATGACAGGCAAATAAGAAAGATAAGCACATAAGGTTCGCCCCTCGGGCACAATATCAACAAATCCGTCCCTCGGGCAATATCTCAGAACAGTACCAGCCCCTCGGGCAATCACATAGAACAACACCAGCCCCGTGGGCTATCTCTCACATCACACTGGGTACCCGCGCTCACTGGGGGTGTGCAGACTCCTGGAGGGGCCCTTTACGGTCCAAGCGCAATATCAAGCCATCTCGTGGCATCATAAATAGGGCCTCGACCTCATACTCAATATCAAGCCACCTCGTGGCGTACAATCTCAGGCCCTCGGGCCTCACTAATCAAATCAGTCGTATCACCGCTGCGGCGTCGCAGCCCGNNTCTCTCTCTCTCTCTCTCTCTCTCTCTCTCTCTCTCTCTCTCTCTCTTTTTCCTTCTTTTCAACCTTTCCAGAACCTTCAAAATTGATCATCTGCCATGGCTGAAAATCAAACCACCCTTCCCACATCTCCTGAGAAAACCCTCGACTCCTCCGCTCCTAGTAAAACCCCTCCCAACATTTCTCTTTCCACAAATGTTGAAACTGAAGCACCTAAACCTGATTCTCCTTCACCCTCTGTCTCTCTCACCACTTCCTCAGACCCTTCTCTTCCTCTAAGTGTTGAGAACTCAGAAACCCCCAAACTCGATAGTCTATTGTCTCTGTCGCCTGAGATTTTCACAGAACAAAACAAAGATGGAGAACAAAGTGAGACTCCACAGGCAGAAAAGGTTTCTGAGGTTAGTGTTGATCAGTCTTCAGGTACTCTTGTCTCAAAGTTTGTTGCACCCATGTAATCTCTAGAGAAAGAAGATATAGAAAATATTTTGACCATCTCTGCTGAAAGGATAGTGTATGGGGTCACCTCCACTATGCCTGAGTCTTAGGGGGAAGAGACTCAGTCCTTAGTGGGAGAAGGAACTGTGGTGCTCTTTGAAAATCCTTCACCAAAAGAAACTACTGGGACCCTTCTTGAAGGACCTGACCCCTCTCCTGAGGAAACAGGTCAAGGATCTTCTTCCCAGGTCAGTTTCGACCTTGCTCCTTCTCCTCACTTTGATGTTGAACCTTTGGAAATTTTGGCTCCTGCTATGAGGTCCAGTGATGATGAATATCAGGATAATGTTTCTCTAGATGCGCTCATTGCTAGAAGGAGGCCAGTAGCCACTCATGATCCCTCTCCTAAGCGACCTACTACTAGGTTGCAGGCAAATAAGGCTCTTGAGTCTGCCCTGTAGAAGAGTAGAAAGAGTAGCAAGAAGAAGAAAAAGAGGATGGTGAAAAATGGAGAGGTTGTATGTGACAAGAACATTCCTGTTGTGGAAGTGGATGAGGAAGCTGCAGAAGAACCAAGTTCCTTAGTCAAGAGATATCAAAAAAAGAAGCGATCCGCTGAAAATGCTTTCAAAGTCAGTGGAAAGTGGTAACAAGTTGAAACAAGTAGTGGCTGAAGAGTCATTGTCAGATGAGGACATTCTATCGAAATTAAGTGGAAAGGGTAAATCGAGTGTGAAGTCTGGTAAAAGAAAGTTGGAAACTGTGAGGGAACCCGATTCTGTGAAGAAAGTGAAACGTGAAAGTGTATCCGGTAAGGAAAGATTGAGGTACCAGAAGGTTCTGTGGGGTCGCACATTCGACCTAGAAATATCTGAGATGACTGGCATGAGACAAATCCTTGAAATGGTCGAATTTCAATAGTGGGGGCATCTGTTCAAAGTGGATGTACCCAAGGTTTATGAGGATGAGTTCCAAAGTTTTTATGCTGACTTCTTCACTGTTGAATCTGACCATATCTGTGCAATGGTCAATGGAGTTGATATTGTTCTGGATGCTGCTCTGCTTGGAGACATACTTAAGCTTCCTGCTGATGGTATGTCTTCTGTCAAGGATGTCTGTGGCTCAAATTTTAGGCATGCTATTGTAAAGGAGGGAGCAGTCCAGCATGGGGAACTGATGCATAAGAAAGCTCTGCTTCATGTTTATCAGCTCCTGTTTGAGTTGGTAAACAAGGTCCTTCTGCCCCGTGCTGAGAGGAGGTCCATCACTTCCAAGTTTGATCTGTATTTGATGGAAGCACTGGATGGATTCTGATCTATTAATCTGCCAGCCATAATGATTGAGCACATGCAACAGGCGGCAACTTTCAAAGATGGAAACCATGGTCTTCCTTATGGATTTCTTCTCGCGCATGTCTTCAAGTTCTTTGATGTGCCTTTGGGACAGCCCAAGATAGAGACCAAGAAGCAGACCTTCTTTCAAACTACTTTCGTGGAATGTGAATGTGTTAAAAAAGGTGGAGGGGTAGGGAGCACTTCGACGATCTCACAGCTTATCAATGCCCAGAATAGTTCTACTGAGGAGATCAGGAAGTTGAAGGCAAGGAATGCCATTTTGGAGAATCAGCAGGCTCAAGGGGCACCGGGGTCAAATGCAGAGGTTGCTCGTCTGACCAAAGAAAATGCTGATCTCAGGCAACAGGTTGAGAACCTGAAGGAGAAACTGCTAGCAGAGAAAATGTCGGCCAATACTCGAATTGATCTCGTTCTCAACACTCTTACTGCAGCTTCTAAGCCCTCTTCCTCTAGTGTCCCCTAGGCTAATCCTTCAGTGACCAGTTTCCAGTTTATCTCCTTAGTTTTTGATGACTCTATGGTAGTTGTTTTTGTTTTTCGTTTGTGGTGTGGATGAAATTCACTTGTACTGCTCTTGCTGATAACAGTCCAAATCTGCCTTTGCTGTAATGGCAAAGGCTTATGTTTTATAAAAAGTAATAAAAACTCTCCTCTTTTGCTATGAATGCTTATGTTTCTCTGCTTCTCTTTTCTATCATGTGGTGTGCACATATATGGCATGAGTTAGCTAGGCTAGACTTCTTTATACTGATTGCTTGCTTGTGTATTTTTAATGATGCCAAAAGGGGGAATATAACTAAAACATGGATCTGATTAAGGGGGAAGCATAAAGTCAGGGGGAACTTGTGAAGTTCCTGTTACTTCATCTGGTTTATTTTGCTCTAAATATGGGTTATCAATTTTTAAGTTTGTCATCATCAAAAAGGGGGAAATTGATAGGTTTACAGTACCTTAGCTTTATGTTTTGATGATCTTACAAACTTACTGTCAAAGAATCAGATAAGGGACCTAACACACTTGATACACAGCTCAATCAACGGACTCGAGCTAATGTGTGTTGCTATGACTTCAGAAGATAAAGAATCAACACGGGGACCTGATCCCCTTGTGTTTCCCTGACAGCAGCACGAAGACAACTGTCTACAGCTGAAAAATGACTGCCTGCACTATACACGCAAATAGTGCAGCACAATACTGCAGACACTCCCCTTTGACTAACCAAGTGATTACATCATTCAAGTGATGTCATCCAAGTTGTATTAACAAAGAGTATTACAACAAAACGTCACTTGAACATTTGAGAATTCATTCAAGCACTTCAACTGTTCATCTGCCAAGCATTCAATTCTCAAGTGCATCAAGAACAAGTACAACACTAATACGGACCAGTTCCTACAACAAGTATCTTGTATGTCCTTAGTTGAGTTGTAACTTTGTAATTGTTCTTCATTGTAATTCCTACTTTGCTTATCTAGAAGCTTTAATTAGGAACCCCTTGTAAACTATAAACCTTCAGTGTTTGTGTCGTGACTAGAGTTAGTCATGAGTTAAAGTCTTTGTAATAGGTGTATTGCAAAGTGGCTTGTAATAGGTGTATTACAAGTTAGTGAGGGATTAAGAGTTTAATTCCTTGCTAGATTGCATAGGTTGTAATCTAAAGTTGCTCATAGTGAAGTTGAAATTCTACCAGTGTAGGTCGTGGTTTTTTATCCCCTTGAGCAGGGATTTTTCCACGTAAAAGTTCCCTGTTCCATTTACTTACTGTTTCATTAGTACTATCTGTGGAAACCTATAAAGGACCTGGTCTCTATATAGTTTGGTGGTCTCATATATATATATATATATATATATATATATATATATATATATATATATATATAAACTCTTAATATATCCTGTTATTTTACCTTAAATTTAAGGAAAACAATGAGAACTTTGATTTTATCAATAGGGAGGAATAAAATGGTCCCAAGTCTTGGAATAAATTGAAATATTCTGTGAATGGGACTTTAATTAAGTCGCTTCGAGGCCTCAGGGGTATCACTAAATACGAATATGTTGGTGGGTTTGTAAAAGATGGGTGGAGGGGAGTTTTGGTCAAAGATATATCGTTGAAGGAAAGTGGCCATGCCAAGACAAGAGACTCTTTAATTTAAATATTCTTTACACGGTTGACAGCACGTAAGTAATATACTTTATTTTGAATATTACAAATCACATATTCCAATAAAGCAGGTCTATGAATATTTTTTAAATGACCTAATAGTGTAAAATTACCAACCGGTTCAATAGTTCACTGGGGTGGTTAGGGAAGCGCATACAGATGCATGATGATCTCTTTGGGAAGAAGCTGGGGAGGGGACTTATCCTAATAATAGCTTTAAATATGGCTAAATGGTCTAGGAATGAACTGATTTTGTTTAAAGGATTTAATTTGTATAATTTACCGGTGCGTAAAAATTCTTTTGTAATAGTAATTATATAAATTGTGAAATGTTACGATTAGGGGTGGCAAAATGGTTAAAAGAAAACAGTGAACCATCTATATTATTCACTAAAAATGGGTTGGATAATGAACTTTTAAAACGGGTCAAATATGGATAAGAACCATATTATCCATTTAAAAAATGGATAACCAATGTGTCTAACTTGTACATTTGTAAAGCCTCAAATTAGGGAGACTGAGAATTCTCCAAAAAGTGATCATATGCAAGAAGTCATGGATAATATGTTTACCCATATTATTCGCCGGTTAACCCGTTTTTTATCCGTATTAAATATGGGTCGGATCGGATAATTTATCCGTATTTTCATTATCCGTTTTCGACCCAAAACATATCCGACCCGACCCGCCCGTTTGTCACTCCTAGTTACAATAACCTTACTTTGGAATCAGGGGTGGACCTACGTTGGCGGTTGAGGGGTCACGCGACCCCGTTAGCCTCGGCAAAAGTTCTGTATATACATATTCTATATATCTGTACTTATATATGGGACCCCTTAAACATTTTAATGGTGGCCCCCAACACAAAGTGACGGATGGAAGAAGTGGTTGCTTTGGGCACTTAAATTCTCTCTTATGTTGTGGTGACGCGGGTTCAAAACCTCCCGAAGCTAATTTCCTCAGTCTTTTCTCCTCTTTTTTTATTTTAGTTCTTTGAATATAATGTAATTTTTATTTAATAGCAAATTACTTTATTTTTTTACTTTTATCTTCTTCTTTTTTTAAAATTCAATTAGAGTTTAGTACCAATACAAAATAGTCAACTTAATTAATTTTATATTTTTTTTACAAATTCCTTCCTTAAAATTGAAAGCCTCAAATTGCAACTTATCGCTCCACAAATAGAAAAAAATAAATCTTCTGCCACAATCTTCTTTAACAATCACTCTGAATTGGCAATGGAAACTAAGAGTTTGAGACTCTTCTTCAAATTTTTTAGTATTAACATACTCTTAATCTTAATTTCTTTAGTAAATCTTTGATAATTTTAAGTTTGAACGCCCTTTTACGAAGAACTCTCTCTCCCCCCGTTTAGTGCTTTCTTTTTCTTTAGAACTTCTTTTTGTTAATACTTGGATAATAAGTCATCATAATCATTAAGTTTCAAAGAGTTGCACGCCGAATTTTATCGCTAGTGATTAGCATATACAGTGGTGCCCCCGTCATGCTCGAATCCTGGGTCCGCCTCTGTCTGGAATATCAAGCCAAACATAGTTTGGAGAGTTACCTTACATGTAATTCTTAGTAGTTAAGTTCTTTTCCTCTTCCTTCTCATTTTGGTGCATGTAAAATTATAAATTGCATTGGTCAGTAAACACAGGAATTTTAGGGTATGCAACTGGCATAGGATTTAGCAGAAGGAATTAATGCGTTATCTGCAGCCTTCTTCGCTTTTGTAGAAAGTGCATGGAAGCTTTATTCCGACTTTTATCTAAACTTTCTTCGTAGCCCACTTCTTATCACATATATATCATCATTCAACGTAACAGACCGCTTTCTTCAGGTTTTGCTTTTTTGGGATATCATCGCTAAAAATAAGGATTAAATTGCACCTTGGTTCCTTCTGTTTAAAATTAAAAATGGATCGAGATCGTCCAACATT